TAACCCTAAAATTCAGACACTGGGGTGGAAATAACCCCAAAATTCCCATTTTGAGGTGGAATTAACCCTCAAATCCTCATTCCAAGATGGAATTAACCCCAAAATTCCCATTCCAAGATGGAATTAACCCCTAAATTCCCACTTTCCCGGGTGGGCGTCACCTGTTCCGGGTTTGCTCCGAGGTTCCCGCTCCGACTCCGCCAGGGACACGTCGTCGTAATCGTCCTCAAAACTGTCCGGGGACGCTCAAAAATGGGGAAAAACGGGAAAATGAGGATTTGGGATTGATTTGGGATCAATTTTATCCCCTTGACCTTCCGATCCCACAATTCCATGGAAGTTTGAGGCTCTCAAGGCTCGGATTTGAGCCTGGAAATTGCCAAAAATTGGGATTTTCCTTTTCCCTTCGGTGATTCCCGGAAGGTTTTCCCAAATATTTCTCCCTATATATTGATTTTATCCATTTTCTATCTCCTTGTTTTCAAATCCCACGAATCCCTTTGGGGATTCCCGGGAGGTTTTCCCATCTTTTTCTCCCAATATATTGATTTTATCCATTTTTATCCCCTTGCCTTCCAATCCCACGATTCCCTAATTCACATAGAATATGAATTATTCACATATATATTCCTATATTATATTAATATATAATGTATTTACATAGAGATTTTATTATAAATAATATCAAATATATCAAATATATCAATATTTATTTACTCAGAATAATTTGTAATAGTTTTTCTAAAATATGTAATTTTATCTAACAGACAAAATTTGTGATTATTTCTCTCATGTAAATAAATATTTCTATAAATGTGATATAAACATTGTTATAAAATATAGCTTAAATATAAATAATAACCAGAATGTATTTTTAAATTTAAAAATAAAGATAATTTTATATTGGGATCAATTTTAAAAAATATATAATTTTCTATCAAGATAACATAGAAAATATAAAACACCAAACATAAAATATGAAATACAAAATATAAATATAAAACATAAAATATAAAATATAAAATACAAAATATAAAACATAAAATATAAAACATAAAACATAAAATATAAAACATAAAATATAAAATACAAAATATAAAACATAAAATATAAAATTCAAAATATTAAATATAAAATAAATATTAAATATTAAACATCAAATATTAATATCAAAATAAAATAAAACCACAAATATAGGGAACATCATCTGTATTTTATAATAAATTTTTATTCTGTTTTATAGAATTTTATATTAAAATTTATTTTATTATAATATTTTAGATAATATTTATATAAAGTATATTATATTATAGATAATATTAAAATAAAATATCTATATTTTATAATAAAATTCCCTTTGATGCTCCCCGGGGTTGGATTTGAGCCCGGAAAGGTGAAAATCCCATTTCCAGGAGCCAGAAATTCCCTGGGTGGGGAATTCCAGGATATTTTGGGGGATTCTTTGCTCGGTTTTGACCCAAAAAGCCCAAATTTGGGAGCAAAACTTCCCATTTGGAGCCAAAACTGAGGCGGGATCGACCCTGGGGAGGCACCTCTGGGAATTCTGTTCCAAAAACCCGGGAAAAGGTGGAAAAACAGGGATTTACCTGGTCTGAAGTCACCCACTGGGGACATTTTCCCGGTGGAGGAGTAAATTCCTGCAAAAAAAACGGGAAAAAGAAACAAATCTGGGAAAACTCGGAGAAAACCCCAAATCCAGGGAAAAAAATCCAGGGAAAAACCCAAATCCAGGGGGAAAAGCCAAAGAAATCCAGGTGAAATTCCAGAGAAAGCCCCAAATCCAAGGAAAAAATATCAGAAAGAAAAACAAAGCCAGGGAAAACTCCCCTAAATCCAGATAAAAATGCTGGAGAAGCCCCAAAATCCAGGGAAAAACCTGGATAATCCAGGGAAAAAAACCAAATGCAGGTGAAAAACTGGAGAAACTCCCAAATCCAGGGGAAAAAAACCCAAAATCCAGCTAAAAAATCCCAGAGAAACCCTCAAATCCAGGGGAAAAAAAAGGTTAATCCACTTAAAAATCCCAGAGAAATCCCAAATCCAGGGTCAAAAACCCCAAATCCAGGGGAAAATCCTGGAGAATCCCCAAATCCAGGGAAAACCCCCTAAATCCAGGTAAAAATCTCAAAGAAATCCCAAATCCAGGGGGAAAAAAGGTAAATCCAGGTAAAAATCCCAGAGAAACCCCAAAACCCAGGGAAAAAGCTGGAGAAACCCCCAAATCCAGGGGGAAAAAAAAACCAAATCCAGGTAAAAATCTCGGAGAAACCCCCAAATCCAGGGAAAAACCTGGAAAAAGCCACAAATCCAGGGGGGGAAAAAGTTAATCCAGGTTAAAATCCCGGAGAGACTCCCAAATCCAAGGGAAAAAAACCCTAAATCCAAGGAAAAATCCTAGAGAAACCCCCAAATCCAGGGAAAAACCTGGAGAAAACCCCGAAATCCAGAGGAAAAAAACCCCGAATCGAAGTAAAAATCTCAGAGAAACCCCCAAATCCGGGAAAAAAAACCCAAATCCAGGGGGAAAAAAACAAATCCTGGTAAAAATCTTGGAGAACCCCCAAAATCCAGGGAAAAAGCCGGAGAAACCCCCAAATCCAGGGGAAAAAAAACCAAACCCGGGTAAAAATCTCAGAGAAACCCCCAAATCCAGGGAAAAAACCCAAAATCAGGTAAAAATCTCAGAGAGACTCCCAAAATCCAGGGGAAAAAAAAAGGTAAATCCAGGTTAAATTCCTGGAGAGACTCCCAAATCCAAGGGAAAAAAAACCCTAAATCCAAGGAAAAATCCTACAGAAACCCCCAAATCCAGGGAAGAACCTGGAGAAACCCTCAAATCCAGGGAAAAAGCCGGAGAAACCCCCAAATCCAGGG